AAAAAAAAACCTTATCCACCTTGCTTCTAAACTCTTTCTCCTACATCCAACACACACCTCCCCTGCCTTTCTTCAAAGGCTGAGTCAGCAGCTTTCCCATACTTTTCTACTTCCCCTCTGGAACTTGCATCCACAGCCTATCCTGGAGCAGAAGGTTCCCAGGAGGGATGATGCGAGGATTGCTTCCCTTGAAAAACTCTGTCCTTAAGTGGTTCCTACTTGGCTGCACATGGGACAAATACCTCTGAGTCACCTTCAGATATTCCCATGGGCCTACGTCCAGCTGTGAGCAGCATGGAAGAACATCCTTGTGCAGACCCGACCTCTAGCCAGGATGGAAAACCCTTACTGACAGTGCGTCCCATCCCTCAGATTATGTCAGGGAGCCTGGCCAGGGGTCAAGGGGAGGATCAGAGTTCCTCTGTCTAGGTCAGCTTTCTTCAGCAAAGACTGGATCTTCACTTGACTGTTCGTATACACAGATGGGCAGTGCAATGCCTGTCACATCAATATGCCCAAACACTCTGAAAGTGTTTGCCAACCTCTGAATTCAGCAGGAAAAAGTAGAGCTGCGGCATGCTGTTACCAGCACGGTCATGTTGTAAGCTGTGGGTTTTCTAAACAGAAACCTTGACGTACTACAGCAGCAATAAAACTCAGAGCAGTCTAGTGTCCCTTCTTGTACGCAGTGAGGGGCTTAGCCTCCAAGGAAGGAGGACTTCTCATGCATTTTATTATCTAAAAGAAGCCTGGAGTAAAAATTCAGTTCCTAAAATGTCATGGGATCATTCCCTGGGCATTACAGAGAAGCAGCCACGTCCTTGGCAGTTCTTAGGCCCAGCACGCATCCTGTGAAATGCACAGCTCTGGCCACATACCTGCAGCTGAAACGGCATCTTGGGAGGAGTAAGCTGTATCTGGAGGCTTAGAGATGGTGGTGAGGAGCCATAGCCAGCACATATCCAGAGTGGGTAGAGGCCATGCTATGGCCCAGAGTCAAATGGCGACACCCTAAAACATGCCCTAGACACAATGTGTGCCTGGAAGCTTGATGAAGAACCAACTTCGATGTTCCCCCAGCCCAAGACCCTTCCCCTAAAGAAATACAAGAGAAAGAACCATAAAAACTGTGTTTTAAAGATACAGAAATAGTAACTGGTACATTTTTTCACAGCAGCACTTCAATCGTCTTGTTTAACAAAATTAAACCTACATTGCAGAATTCTGACAGAAAGGGACTGTTTTATACAATGTTATTCATGTTTTCATAAACAAAAGAATATTCTTCAGGCAAAAAATTTCTTTACAAGATACCAGTAAATGAAATGGAATACAAAATGTGTTCCTTTGGGTCAGCCTGATAATAGCCACACCCCCCTAGGGAGTATCAGGGGAATTTTTTTAATGAATACTTTGAGTATGAGGGTGACTCTCCAGAGTTAACATCCCACAAAACAAGGCTATTTCATAATATGAAACCAAAGACTGCGTCTCCCGCATGATCACTTTAGAATGAATAACTAGTGAACATAATAATAGCCTTGGTCCATAAGGAGAAATATTTACTTACATCCTCAATGGACTAAAAGATTTTAGACGTCACAATTAAAATTGTATCTTTCCAAAAATATTATATTATCAATGCAATAAACACAATAAACTTAAAGAAAACAAAACCTAACTTCATTTAAACTAAACTTCATTTAAACTTTTAAAAAAACAACAAAACATACTTCCTAGAGTGCAAAATGCTTATAAAATACTTCAAAAACACAAAAGTAATTTTTTTAAAAATACAGGAATCCTTTGCTGAAGGGCCATCAACACAAAAGACACCCATTGCCAGCAATGGGTGCCAGGTGGAAGAAACATGGTGTTAAGCTTTGTGTTTGGCCTCTGTCCCTTTCAGATGACATGTTATTTCTACAAGCTCATGGTTGGACTCTGGTACATGCACATGTACGCATCACAAAGAAGTCTGCGTGCACAGCCTTGAATATTTCTGGAATCCAAGGAGTGCAGCTCCTCCACAGACATCTTCAAGTACTTTCCCACTTCGGGGCAGGGTGTCACTTGTGGAATATTGAAGCCATTCTCACCCCCTAGGGAGAGAGAGAGAGAGAGCTCTCCTTAGGGCAGCAAACTTCTAAGTCCTCTTGGCAGTCTGTCCCACCAGAACAATTTTACTATCCTAGAATGTAGTGAAGACTGACTCCCAGAATCAAAAACAAAACAAAACAAAACCTTTGTTTGACTTTCAGTTTCTAGAATTACAGTCTCCTTTTATTGGCTTCTGAGAGGGTTCAGCAGAGAAAAGTGAAAAAAAAAAAACTGGTAAAAGGACACACACTTAGGAAAAGCTGCTACTCTAGGCCCCCCAGACTTTTCTGTCCCTCCCAGACACTAGCAGCCTGACTCTTTTCCACAAGAAGCCAATTGTGAGCGCTACTGTTTCCCTATGTTTTAAGAACATACTTGCAGCACGGCTGATTTAGATACTAATCGTCAGAACGCGCATGTGCTCTGATGATCAGATTTGCTCTCCCAAAAGTCAGGCTGCTAATGCTAACTGAGTGACGTGCACACAGGGGTGGGCTGTGCCCCCAGGCATCAGAGCTACGCAGAAATGAAGAACTGTTGGTCTACAGCTTGGGCCTCTGGTCAAGAAGCCGTCACTCGGTGCCTCTGGTTATTAAAGTGTCACACCTGAAGACCTGGGGAGCTAGGGCTTGGAAGAAGAGCTGTAGAGTAAATGGGGTATGTACAGGTACTGTGACAAGTACCTTACTACCAAGACCCCTGTCACTCAAGTGTGTACTAAGTAATGACTAAGCTTCCTAAAAACATCCCAATGAGGAAAGGTTTCTTCCTGAAATAAAATGCATGAGATCAGGAAGACTGAGTTAAATACAAACCATACAACCTTCACCACCTTTAACGTTAGCTTAGACAATAGAAAAACAGGCATGATTTCCATGACCAAAGTATTCCCACAGAGTTTGGCATTTATGTCCTCAATAAATGGCTACTCTACTGTATATAAAAATGCAAGGAAGAAGATGGTAAAATTAGCTCTAAATAAATTTTAGGATTTTTTTTTTCTTTTGCGGTGTGACAAATTGAAACAGGTTCTCACTATGCAATACAAACTGACCTCTGATTCACAATCCTCTACTTTCCAAGTCTGGGATTATGGCTAGGATTCTTTAACAAATCCACGTAAGGACCAAGATGGCACATTATTGCTCCTTAGTTTGAGGAGCAGAATTAGTAATACCCTTTGAAGATTAAAGTCCGTCACACTGTGTTATCCTTTCAAGAATCTGCTCACAAAATACCCTATTACCACAAACACGTGCTCTCACTAGGAAGCATCTCACTCCAAAAGACAAGTTTTAAATACCATCTCGATCAGCCATGCTGTCAAAGAAGAGCCAGGCTGAATCATCCTTCCCATACTTCACAAAAGCAACGTAGTGGCTCGTTTCTATGCAGAGGACAGCAAACAACTCCATCTTCCGGCAGGGGAGGCAGCCGTGTCTCCAGTCCCAGTCAGGCAAGTCTTTGGGAAGTGATACCGGGTTATATATATGATTCATTCTCTTGGGTTGGAGGTGAACCTAAAATGGACCATGAAGAAAATACCACAAGTGAGCTAAATGCCATGTTTTAAGGGCAGACTCTAATCACTTTCATTGACCACCACAGCCAAGTTCTACAAACACACACACACACACACACACACACACACACACACACCGGCAGAAGAGACATGAGCAATAACATTTACTGTGAATGTTTAAAATGCCCTTTGACTCTGACTGGTGCAGTGAGTGTGGATTACCTGAGTGCAGCAGGTCTTACAGAACTGCTTGATCTTCCCTGCTGTGATGTCAGACTCTTCATAGCACTCTCTACACTCGAACATCGCAAGTCCTCCACAGATGCGACACTCCCTGGGAGCTACGCAAAGAGGGAAGGAAGAAGCCTTTTTAATAAGACATCTGTCATTAAAAATAAAAGCTATACTTTGAAAACAAGAATGCTTGGGTGTTAGGGAGAAGAAAGGCCTAGTCCTCTCTGACCCTCTTAAAATTTCATTTGAATTTTTTTTGTATCTGTAGTTTATTTTTAAGGACTTTTTTTTTCATATAACCATTTTTGTTAACCTATTCTAGAATTGTTCTTCTGGTCATGAAATGTTCAAAGATATAAAATAAGTATTGAAGACTAATAGCACATATGATCTTAAGTCAGTAAGTAACAAGCACTGCCATTATGAACTTTCTGTAACAATTTTATGTCTGAATATTTATATAAGTATGTGTGTTGAAATAGGAGCGGCGGGGCTGCGTCCCCGGCACCCGGCCGCCCGCATGGCTAGCTTATGCCCGAAATAATTACACAGAAACTGTATTCTTTCAAACACTGCCTGGCCCGGCTAGTTCCAGCTTCTTATTGGCTAACTCTTACATATTGTTCTAACCCATTTCTAATATTCTGTGTAGCCCACGAGCTGGCTTACCAGGGAGGATCTTAACCTGC